CGATTCCATTGGTCTGTATGTCTGTTCTTGTTCCAATACCATGCAGTTTTGATGATTATGGCTTTGTAGTATAGTTTGAAGTCTGGGAGTGTGATGCCTCCATTTCCTTCTTTTTTTTTCAGGAGAGCTTTGGCTATTCGGGGTTTTTGGTGATTCCATATGAATTTCATCAATAATTGTTCTATTTCTTTGAAGAATGCCATTGAGATTTTGATTGGAATAGCATTGAATCTGTATATTGCTTTTGGTAGGATGGCCATTTTAATAATGTTTATTCTTCCAATCCATGAGCAGGGGATGTCTTTCCATTTCTTTGTGTCTTCTTCTATTTCTTTTAACAGTGTTTTATAGTTTTCTTTGTATAGGTCCTTTACCTCTTTTGTTAGATTTATTCCCAAATATTTGATTTTTTTTGTTTCGATAATAAAAGGGGTGGTTTTTTTGATTTCTTCTTCTTCAGATTTATTGTTTGTGTATAGGAAGGCTACTGACTTTTGCGTGTTGATTTTGTATCCTGCCACTTTACTGAATTGATTGATGAGTTGAATTAGTTTTTCTGTGGAGATTTTGGGGTTCTCTATGTATATTATCATATCATCTGCAAATAGTGATAGTTTGACTTCTTCTTTTCCTATTTGGATTCCTTGGATGTCTTTCTCTTGTCTTATTGCTCTGGCTAGGACTTCCAGTATTATATTGAAAAGCAGTGGTGAGAGTGGACATCCTTGTCTTGTTCCAGATCTTAATGGAATTGCTTTCAGCTTTTCACCATTGAGAATGATACTGGCTGTTGGCTTCTCATAGATGGCCTTTATGATGTTGAGGTATGTTCCTTGTATCCCCAGAATTTCAAGGGCTTTTATCATGAATGGGTGTTGCACTTTGTCGAAAGCTTTCTCAGCATCTATTGATATTATCATATGGTTTTTATATTTCTTTTTGTTGATGTGTTGGATAACGTTGATTGATTTTCGGATGTTAAACCATCCTTGTGCCCCTGGAATGAATCCAACTTGGTCGTGGTGAATTATCTTATGAATACATTGTTGGATTCTGATAGCTAAAATTTTATTGAGGATTTTTGCATCAGTGTTCATTAGGGAGATTGGCCTATAGTTTTCCTTTTTTGTGTTGTCCTTATTCGGTTTTGGTATTAGTGTAATATTGGCTTCATAGAACGTGTTTGGTATTGTCCCTTCCTTCTCAATTTTTTGGAAGAGTTTGTGAAGGATAGGCACTAATTCGTCTCTGAATGTTTGGTAGAATTCATTTGTAAATCCATCAGGTCCTGGGCTTTTGTTTTTTGGGAGGTTTTTAATTACCATTTCAATTTCGCTGCTTGTAATTGGTCTGTTTAGGTGTTCTATTTCTTCTTTATCTAGCTTTGGGTGATTGTAGAGTTGTAGGAATTTGTCCATCTCCTCTAGATTGTTGAACTTGTTTCCATATAACTGTTCATAGTAGTTACTGATTATTCTTTTGATTTCTGCTGTGTCCGTTGTGATTTCTCCTCTTTCATTTATGATTCTGTGTATTTGTGCTTTCTCCCTTTTTTCCTTTGTGAGCCTGGCTAGGGGTTTGTCTATTTTATTTATTTTTTCAAAGAACCAGCTCTTGGTTTCATTGATCTTTTGGATTGTTTTTTTAGTTTCAATTTCATTTATTTCTGCTTTGGTTTTTATTATTTCTTTTCTTCTACTGGTTCTGGGTTTTTTTGTTGTTCTTTTTCTAGATCTTTGAGCTTCGAGATTAGGTTGTTTCTTTGAGTTCTTTCTTGTTTTTTGATGTGAGCTTCTATTGCTATATATTTTCCTCTTATTACTGCTTTTGCTGCATCCCATACATTTAGGATATTGGTGTCCTCCTTGTCATTCAATTCAAAGAATTTTTTAATTTCTTCTTTGATCTCCTCGTTAGTCCAGTGGTCTTCCAGTAGTGTGGCTTTTAATCTCCATGAGGTAGGATAGTTCCTTGCCTTCTTTTTATGATTTATTTCTAGTTTGATGCCTTCGTGGTCAGAAAAGATGGTTGGTATGATTTCAATCTTGGTGTATCTGTTGATGTTTGTCTTGTGCCCCAGTATGTGATCGATCCTGGAGAATGATCCGTGTGCGCTTGAGAAAAATGTGTACTCCGTTTTTTTTGGGTTTAGTGTTCTATAGATGTCTGTTAAGCCCAAATGCTCTAGGTCCTTATTTAGAGCTTTAGTTTCTTTACTTATTTTTTGTCTTGTTGATCTATCCATTGTTGATAGTGGTGTGTTGAAGTCTCCCACTACATATGTGTTTTCTCTGATGTCTGTTTTCAGAGAGGACAACAGTTGTCTGATATATTTTGGTGCTCTTTCGTTTGGTGAGTATATGTTAATGAGTGTTATTTCTTCTTGAAGTATTGTCCCCTTAATCATAATGTAGTGACCATTGGGGTCTCTTTTTATTTTTTTGAGTTTGAAGTCTGTTTTATCTGATATAAGTATAGCTGTTCCTGCTTTCTTTTTTGGCCCATTTGCTTGTAGGATTGTTTTCCATCCTTTGACTTTGAGCCTATTTTTATCTTTTGTAGCTAAATGTGTTTCCTGGAGACAGCAAAAGGTTGGGTTTTGTTTCTTAATCCAGGCTGCAACTCTGTGTCTTTTTATTGAAGAGTTTAGTCCATTTACATTTAGAGTTAATATTGGTATGTTATCATCTGTATTTGCCATTGTTTGTCTTTCCTTTGATTTTATTTATTTATTCTTTTAATAACTTTTTTTTTTTTTTGGTCTTCTTTCGTTGTTATTCGTCCCTCTGAGGTTCTGGCTTTAGGATTCCTTGTAGTATTTTTTGGAGTGGGGGTTTAGTCGCAATGAAACTCCGGAGTTTCTCTTTGTCTGGGAAGGTCCATATTCTTTCTTCATGGAGGAAAGAGAGCTTTGCGGGATAGAGTATTCTTGGTTGGCATCTGTTTTCTTGGAGTCTGTTGACTATGTCCCTCCACTCTCTCCTTGCCCGTAGTGTTTCTTCAGAGAAGTCTGATGTCAGCCTGATTGGTTTTCCTTTGAATGTTATCTGTTTCTTCCCTCTTGTCAGCTTCATTATTTTTTCCTTGTCCTGGATTCTTGGGAGCTTTACTATTATGTGTCTTGCTGTGTTTTTCCTTTCGTCATGGAAGTTTGGTGTTCTTCTTGCTTCTTGTATATCAATTTTCAGCTCCTTCTTCTCATTTGGGAAGTTCTCTTCAATTATATCCATGAATATTTTCTCTGTTCCTACATCTCTCTCCTCTCCTTCTGGAATTCCTATAACTCTTATATTTCCTTTCCTCATGGAGTCAGATAGTTCCCGAAGTCTTTCTTCATTCTTTTTCCTTCGTACTTCTCTTTCCTTTTCTGTTTTGGTTCTTTTTATTTCTGTGTCTTCAAGATTACTTATTCGTTCTTCCATTTCATCTATTCTGCTTTCATTGCTTTTCCCAGAGTTCTTTAGTTCCTCCATTAATTCTTTGATCTCCCGCATTTCTCTTACTTCCCTCTTTAGGGACTCAATTTCCTTCTTCTGATCTATCACTTTTTTAATCATGGCAATTTTAAATTCTCTTTCTGGAAGGCTCAGAAGTTCTTCCAAGTTGCTGTCGTTGCAATCTGGGGAGTGGTTTTCTTTTTGTGGTGTGCTTCTTTCCTGAGGAGTTTTTAGGTTGCGTGTGGTTCTTCTACTCCCTACTGTCTGTTTTCTAATTTGTCGTATGCGTTGGGACACTGTGTTGCTCGGACTGACTGACATCTTGGGTGAACTTCTCCGCTCCCCTCTGGCTCTTCCAGGAGCCATCTCTGTCTTCTGGGGGAGCTTTCTGCTGGTTTTAGGCAGTTTTTACTGAAGAAATGTCCCTGTTCTCAAATGGCGAAGCGGGATGCAGTCCCTGCGCCTCCGGTTTCAGGCACACTCTTCTGCGCACCCGGTCTGCCCCGGACGTGGGTGCCTGCTCCCTCTGTGGGCTCAGACTGCTGGTCAGAAGGGGCCTGGCGTGGAATAACTTCCCGGCTGGCCACTGGGTCCTCCAGAAACCTTCTGTCCTTTTCAAGCAGTCTTAAGAAATGTCCTGTTTTATAGGGTGTTAGTGACTTTTTTTTTCCTGGTCGCTAGGTGGAGATCTCTCCTATTGTCCTTGGGGGGCTGTTTTTCGCCTCCCCCCACCCCGTGGGACAGAGAACAGAGCGGGAATGGTAGGGTTCACCTCAACAGCTTTGGGGTGCTGTGTCTGCCTTGTGCCCCACCGTCGTGGAGAAACCACGCCCCGAATTTTCCTGCCCCAGGTCTCAGTTCAAAGCCCTCAGTTCCAGGACACGGGCTGTAGCCCAGTTCAGTGGCGCTGGAATGGCGCCTTTTGCACAGCTCCCGTGCCTGGGCGCCTGGTTCCTGCTCACTCAGGGAGGGACCTTCACCTCAGTGAGGACCTCCGCGCGTCTCCCCGCAAGCCTAGGTCGTCTCCCCGCAAGCCTAGGTCGCAGGCGCGGGGACGCGATCCAGTCTGCACTTGCTTTTCAAGCGCGCCGAGTGCACCGCATTCCCGGGCCAGCTTACCGGCAGCCCGGGCTGTGTGCGCGTCTCCCGGGGTCTTTGTTCTTCTCTAATGGTGCCCGGAGCCGGTTCGCTCACCGCCGTGGCGGATCCTGCAGGGTTCGCCTCAGCTCCCGTTCACGGGGTGTGGTGGCTGCAATAGTTCCTTTCCACTCACAGTCCCGCTTGCTGTGTCGTTTGTTCTTGTGGGTCGTTTTGGTTTGTTGTTTCCTCCTCTCTGCCGGGCGGAGAGTGCCGCCTCTGTGGGCGGGGGAGGGGAGCAGGGTTCTGCGCTTCCCTCCCTTCTAGTCCTCTTTTATGGCCACTTTCTTCTTCGGGCAGTTCGCTGGCGTCACCCGTTTATCTTCCGTGTCCCAGTTCTCACTGGGACCTGCCGCTTTTCCTCCCTATTAACTTTTTTTAATGGGAGATCTTACTCGCAGCGTCTCCTCGCCGCCATGTTGCTCCGCCCCCTCCTGGATATATGTCTTTGTAACTTGAAAGTGAAAGACAAAAAGTGTGAACATTTGTGATACACAGTTTTCAGATGCTGTCCCTTCCTATGAATAATTAGTTCTGCCTAAAAGAATAGAAAGAGAAATGGTATAGACAATGATGATTACTAACAAAAGAACTTATAAACATTAACCTTAAATTGGGTGAAAATTGGAATAAGTCAAAAACTATGGTAGGGAAAGCAGTTGTTTTCAAGTAAACAAACTCAGAAATATTTTTCCTTCAAAGTTTCAAGTATGAAATTCTATACATGCTAATTCCATCTTTTAGATTTTATATAATTTCATCTCAGATATTTGAATGAAATGGAAACTGATTATCACTTGGAGAGCTCTACTCATTTTGCTACAATTTGGTCTTGCATCTGAAGTCTATACTTCCTAGAATATTCTGACATCTTCCATCAAATTTATTTAAGCCTCCTTCCCTATAAAACATTAGGCACATGCACAAATGCTTTGTATATTTTATGGGTCATCTTAGATCACTAATAAACAGAACCTATAAGTAGGTATAAAATGGAAGGGTCTTGAAAGAGTTAGACAATGACATACTGTTGACAGTTATTAAAAGTGTTCTTTAAAACCCAGAAGGTATAGATGTCTTTGGTTATAGATAGGTGAACAATTACTGTGTGTATGTGTGTGTGTGTGTGTGTGTGCACATAGCTAGACTGATGATTAGAACTACTGAGATTACATTAAGTAGAACTAAATATAATTTCTAAACAGTTAAACAAGGTAGTTTGAACATCCACTTTTATTCCACGCTTTCCCAACACTCTGCTATAATAACATTTAAGCAATTTAAGGGAAAACAAATCTACAAAGTCAAAAGGAATGGGAGATGATATCACAACAGGTGAGAAATGGGAACAGTTTTGGAAGCAGAAAACCAAAGACAGGAGCAGGAGCCAGCTTAGTGTAGCCAAGAACAAAAAATGAAACCGATATGAAGGAATTCATATTGCAGAAATCCTAACACCCCTAAATGATGTGAATTTCTAGTTAAAATATGATAGAATGTTGTAAAAGTTATCTTAGCAAGACATTTCTAAGTCCTAGGGATAATGGAAATATCTTAGGAGCATCCATAGAAGAATTTTTTAAAAAGTGACAGATCACACGTAATAAGTACAAAAATGGCACCAGATTTCTTAATGGAAAATCTGGAGGTTAAAAGAAAATGAAACAATTCTTTCAAAATTCTGAAGGAAACATTTCCAGTATTGAATTCTATATCTAGGCAAAAGATCACATTAAGAGTAGAAAAAAGGTGCTCCCAGAGAGAGAAGGTCTCAAAGCAAAATTATCTCTCTTTACAGGAGGCAACTGAAGGATATATCAAAATTAAGAGACAGACCTGAGATTCAGGAAATGGGAGATCTAACACAGGAGATGAGGGGATTTCCAGGATGATGGTAGGAGAGGTTTCAGTTGACAGTGGTATAGCAGATGTACAGATCAGTCCACATTGGAGCAGACAGATGGACTACTCTATGAAAAGAGAGAACAGGATACTACGTGTTATTGGAATTTTCCCACATCATATTTTCAGCACTAACAAAAATTAAATTTATGTTTCAAGTAAATAGAAAGATGAACAATCAACTAAAATCAGCAATGATGTTATAACTCCAGGGAAGACAAGAATTACTATAGCAATCATAAAGGTATGGTTCAGCAGTGGATAACATTTAAAAGACCATAATACATTAACTAAATATTAATATTATAAAGAATTGATAAAAAGTTGTCCTCAGTGGGATGAGCCTAGAAAGTTGTTTGTTTTTTTTTTTGTTTTTTGTTTTTTGTTTTTTTTTTTTTGAGTCCACTACAGTGGCTGCATAAAGGCAGTGAGTGGCAGTAAGAAATATAAACATGCCATAGTCCTAGCAGTAGGACTGAAGAGGATGAAACAACCAGGGAGCTACTCAGGACCACGAGTGAACCTGGATGAGTTTCCAATCCTACAAAGGGACACAGAGCCACAGATCTGTCAGCTGCTGTGACCTACCCCTCTCTCCTCAGAGATAATGATAATACAAGAACGGGATCTGAAAAGACATGTTAGTGAAATTCTAACTCAAACTGACTCAATGCACTGGGGTATGTTCTGCATCAGGAAAATCAGACAATTGAGTTGATTCACAGAGGCTGACTGATGTTACTCATATAGCTGGTTGTTTTGATTTATGGCCATATACTGAAACTTTTCTTTCTTTTGCCTATATAGTTATAGTCTTTAACTGTTCTCAAACTTCATGTAACCACTGGACTCTTATCATTTGTTAAGTCCCATTGTCCTTGACTTTAATGTGCAAATATACGTTTTTACAGGAAATGATGTGTTTCTATAAGACTTAGAAGAAGTACTAAAAAAGGTAAAGGTTAAAAACAGGAAATAGTCAAATAGTTTGAAGTATTCTTTTCCACAGGTTTTATCATCAGAAGACCATGACTGGTATTTCTGGCAGTTAATCTCTCAAAGTGAAAAACAGAACCCACACAGTATCTCTCCTCACAGGGCAGTTACAGCCTCCACTGAGATCGCAGCTGTCAACAAGTGAGTATGAAAATGATGTCATAAAGTTCTAAGTTTTTTAGTTGTTCTGATGCCCAAATAGTTGCCAGTTAAATATTCAAATAATAATAATAATAATAATAATAATAATAATAATAATAATAATAATTGGCTTTTCACTGCAGCTACTATGGAGGAATTTTATCTCCAGAGGGTTACAATGGATCTAAAACATCACATCTCCACTGTTTAATAATCGCCATGACTGATTGTATGTTGAGAAGCTGCTCTGGGTGAGCCTTCAGAGGTTAGTATGAGTTCCTTACTTATAGAAAAAAAAAATTCTGTGGTAAACCTTCTTGGTGAAGAAGGTCATGTTGATCTGAATACAAGTATACTCTTTCATTCCCTCAGAATGAGTGATATGATTATGGATTAGAGTCTGTATGTACTTGGATAAAATAAAAACCATCTAAACCTGGTTAGCATAAGAAAGACAAAGGTAGGGATTTCTTAACAAAATCATTATTTCAAAAGTTTCTCTCTGAAAGTTTTTCAGAGACAAAATTGTTTAGCTGGTTCAGAGACTTGGTTCAGGGTCTTCCTGCTAATATGTACAGTCCTTAAAGCTAGCATGTGTCTTTCCACAAAAAAAAAAAAAAAATTTATAAAGTCACTTGCAGTGTTATCCTGATTTGCCTTTTCAAAGGAAACTTTCCATAATGCCTAGAAAGAATGTGAAGTGTCAGACTTTATTAAAAAGCATTTGATTGAAATTTAATTCAAATACTATATAACTTACCCAATTAAAATATCATTTCAATGGCTTACTATATTATGAGACTCTTGTAACTATCATCACAATCTAATTTTAGAATATTTTCTTCACCCTTAAAAGAAACCCATATTCATTAGCAGTCAAGAGTAGCAGACTTAGAATTTCTTCTCTTAAAGGTTTAAAAATTACTGATCTATTTAAACACAGTTGCCTAGTGGAGTTTTGGAGAGTAGCCTCAGATTGCCCTCTGGTGCCTAAAGGTATAGCCTATATAGTATGTTTGTCCTTAAAAAGTGTTTGTGGATAAGCAGTCAGTCAGTGATGAAAGCACTAACACATTTACTATTTGTCTGACACTATCTGTGGTTCCCATAAATTTACTCTTTTAATCTTGTGACAACCCTATAAGTTAAGTTACTATTATCGCCATTTTCATAGATAGAGATATTAAGTGTCTAAGAAATGTTATTGCATTTTTATTATTTTACTAGCCTATTTCTTTGGTAGTCTCTGTAACCATCAGACTGCAAAACTCTTTTAGTTCCATCTAAAAGCAGTCAGGATTCAAGAACTTCTTGTACAAATACTGTTCGGGCTCTTTGAGTATGAAACTCAGTGTTCATTTGCATTTTTATTGACTAAGAATAGCTTACTAAAATGCAGTTGGTTGTTTAATTGGCACCTGTAATTAATTTAAATTTATTCCAGATATAGACTGCTTCCAAAGCTTGTGTAAAGATCATTTGGAAACTTGGAACATATTTACCAGAAATAACATTTTCGATGGTTGTGAAGTCCCCTGGTTACTCTGTAAACACCCAAAATGGATCTGAAAGTACAACCTTGTAACCACCAGTTTACAGATCTTACATGGTTTAAGGGTACTGAGCACCTGCAGATCAAGGTTCAACTTTTGGGAGAGTCTGAAGTTCAACAGAAGCCCTTCTGTTGATCACTTTCAGTGTCTGTCCCCGCTGAAGGGGAAAGAAGATTCTTCTCTTGAAAGACTCAGAGTGAAACCATGCCTGCCTTCTTGACTCCTGATCTCTGGTTTAAAGTGTGAAGGGGACTCAAAGCTGGAAAACATGTGGGATGCTGTCTCAGATTCCAACATTAGCGTTGTGAGATTCAGATGGCAGCAGGGTGTGTGTGTGTGTGTGTGTGTGTGTGTGTGTGTGTGTGTGAAAATGGGGTATGGGAAAGGTTGAGACTGTATCAGACTCAATTATCTCTTTTTCCTTAAAATAAGATTTTTTTAAAGATTTATTTACTTATTTTATGCAAGAACTGGGGTACAGACCAGATGTGCGGGAGGATGAGAGGATTCACCAGAGACAGAGTGGGGAACAGAACAGGCAGACTGATGAAATACACTGCTGAGGGGAGCAGCGGGTGAGACTGGGGAGGTCTGCCACGCCATGTGGGATCCTCGCCAGCCGGCCTGGATCGAACTGGCGCTGCAGAGGCTGGGGACAGCATCACAGCACGGCCCTCAAACCTGCGCCACCAGGGGAGGCCCAAGATTTTTTTTTTTTTAAATATAGACTATAACTAGGGAAAATATAAGGTAGATTTTTCCCAAAAAATATTTTTGACTATTTCTTGAACAAATCATCTCAGGATTTTATTGAAAGGACCAAAGCATTTCTAGAATGATGGAACAAAAATTTGTGGATGAG